CATAACACTGTCGACATAGATTTTACAAGTCGAAAATATATAAATACACAATTTGTGAGATTTTTATAAATGTTTGCTGGCAGAAAAGGAACTATGAAAGTGCATAATCGAAACCTCGAACCGCCCATTATATGTACGCAACCACATTAACTCGCCCCACGTGCTCAACAACAAAGGTTATGAAAATAAACACATCTTAAAAATACATATAAAAACAGAAGACACCTTCAAATACGATTATGACGCCTGGGGGATAACTACTGGGAAAAATATATGTAAATCCCAAACAAAGTAAGACTCCAAGGTGAAATTAAATGTTTAAAATAACGTTGGCTAAATTGAGGAGAATTGAATTAATACACTACAAAACATACACAGAATGAAAGATAGAATCACAGGAAACTTGAGTAGAAATTCAGTGCGTAGTTAAAGACAATGACAAACAAAAACGATATGGAATGGACACATTTCTGCCAACTTATACTCAAGTAAATGGACTCTCGTTTGCACGGTTCATATATATATATATATATTCTGTACTATTTACAAATTCTTGCTACTTCTCGGTTCAAAATATTTTGTCTGATTTCTAAGAACCTGAATTTTAAATTATACGAATGAATAATTTTGCCTGTTGTCTTGTATGGGTGTGAAACATGGTGTCACACACTGAGGGAGATTGCAGGTGTTTGAGAATAGGATGATATTTGGTCCTAGGTGTGAAGACGATGGGGCATGGAGAAAACTGCAAAATGATGAGCTTAAAAATGTGTAAACCTCCCCCAATATTAACAGGGTGATTAAATCGAGAAGAATGAGATGGGCTGGGCGTGTAGCGCGCATGGATGTGACAAAAGGTGTGCACCGGGTATTGGTTGGGAAGCCTGAGGGCAAGACACCGCTGGGAAGACCTAGACGTAGATGGGAGGATAATGTCAGGCGGGATCTGTGGGAAATAGGAGTTGAAGGAGACTGGATTTTGTTGGCCAAGGACAGGGTCCGGTGGAGGGCTTTGGTTTATTCGGGTTCGGTTAGCCATCTACTTACTACTATATACAATCAATGACTACTTTCGGTTTCCCAGACACCAGACTATTCGGTGCCGTTCTCATGCTGGGCGTCTAAAGTGTCCGCACCCCCTGAGCCACGCAATGCGTTGGGCCCAATTTCATTGACTTTACTGTGTTAAATATTTGGAGCACAAACCTGGGTCCACATTTTCGCGTTCCGTATAACTATACGCTGTTATGTTGTGGCAGTATGCGCCAGTGGCTTTAAGAGGCCGGGAAGTAGAAATGAAACTTAAAAATAAAAAAGAAGACACAGCTAAATACGTAGTAGACTCGAGAACAAGTGTCCATATGCAGAAAATCATTCCGCACCGAGAATATTTTATTAGCCAAGTAATTTAATTAGAGGTTTGTAGAGACTATTACCGTTTGGGTACAAGAACACATTGCGGGATTGAGTTATTTTATAACATGCTCGTGATTAGCAAGCAACAGATTATGGTAGCAACAGACAGAATAGGCATATTGAAAGAGGCTGCTCAGAAAGATATGACATGTCATGACCTAGTGGGTGGTTACCAACATTTTAGATGAAAATATTGCCTCAGTGTTACCCACTTGTGGTCCTTTGCAGGTTATGTAATACTCTTAACAGTTTGTAACTCTGGTACCTAAAAGGCAATGTATCACAACCCAAAAGACCACAATTGACATAAGTCTGAAGTTATTAGAAGTTGACTTAACCTTGGGCCAACAATGACTATTGAGAATATTACTCTCCAAATAGTTTTGTTGCCTGTTATTTATGTATGGCTTTTATTATTAAGTGTTCTGTCTTACGACAGGGCATCAGTTAAGAAATCTATACAAAATTAGGTTGAAAAATCTTGAGGAAAGCCAGCTGGGTCGTAAGTTTGTAGATGGGATTCTAAATTAAAGTATATAAACACTCAGTGAATTAAATAAAAACATTTAATAAACTAAACCATTACATTTGTTAGCAGTACACTCGGTAAATCACAAAATCTAGTGTGGGTGTTAAAAATGACCGCCATTAGCTTTGTGGTACAGTTCAGTGGTGAGCAATTGACTGACGAGCAGCCTCCAAAGTTGCTGCTGTGTGGATATCTTTTTAGGATATTTTGCATTTGACATTTATTTTTATTTCATTATTGCATTTTATTCAAGGACACATTCAGTCGTACATATACCATACTGATCTGTAGAATGACAGTGAATAGTGAATTAGTGTAAGATATGGACGGACGCAGTCATGGCCCTGTTTATGGTACTGTCTCAGCATCTACCTGGGGGGGACTAGGAAAACTACAGAATTCCTGTTATGAAAGCTAATCTCTGGATTCCTTATAACAAAAAACAGATAATAATTATGGACAGCAAAAATGATCATGTACTGTGCATTACATTCTAATCCTTCGTGTACGTTTCAAGACTTTCAACGATCCTTCAGGTTTCATGTTCATCAGAGTTAAGTCTCTGTAGCTTACAACTGAAATCTTTGATAGCGACAAACCCAGTATCTTTGTCAGTGGGCAGTGAAAGGTTTGGTGTAACAGTAGATCTGTACAAATCAGTAACAGAAATGTTAAGTATGAAATGTTAGTATTTCTGACTACAACTTATATTGCTAGATGAACAATTCTATTTCATGATACGAATTATCTTCGTGCAACACAATTGATGAGATTTCAGCACATTTTACTTTAATCTCATGAAGTGATATTTCCTACAAACCAGAAACAACTTCACTGCCACAGTCTTCCTCATAATAAGGTAAAAGGAGAGTGAAGACGAAAAAGGCGAGGTGGTCAGTCTTCCCATAGAATTTTTTTAGACAGGAGTTATGACCACACCAATATATACACAGTGGACGTCACACAAAATTTAATTCTTTAGAATAAATTGTGAAACTGAATAGCTCTGCAAATCTGAATAGAATTAACACAAGTGATCAAAACATAATGAAGAGTGATTATGACTTATTTAATTTTGTTGATTCATTAATGTAAAGAAAGAACAATGTTGAATAAGAACCTGTTCACTGGATGCAGGCTCAAAAATCTCTTATTTTTGGTCAGTGGCTGGTCAGACACGAGATGCTTCACACACTTCTAATTCCTTCTTTCTACACATAACTCGGGAGACTGAAATGGTGAAGCCTTTTATAACACAACATACTGATCAGCCATTAACCAAACAAACAAATGAGTCTCGGCCATAACCGAAGTGACTGAATGATCAATAATTATCTACTTCTAAAATTCAAAATATAAAATACTTTTTCTGTAAAAAAATCATCTAAACTCAAGAAATCTATTTTTACACAAGTGTGTTCATAAAAACTAATGTAAGTTTTGCTGGAATCCTTAAAGCACTTCAGTTTCACTAGTTTTTTAACCAAACCTTTCTTCTTTGCTGCAACACATTTCTCCATTCACACCACATACTATACATCACCGATGATTATTCAGATCATGATGCTTTAACGTCTCTTCGGACAACTACTCCAATTGAATTATTAATTATATCACAGGATTTGGGAGCTCCTCACCATGCATGTTTTGATGTTTCTTCAGATAACTCCTCCGCCCAAATGACTTATTACACACTCCACAGGAATACGGACGCTCACCACTGTGTATACGCTGATGTGTTTTCAGGTCCTCCTTCCTACTGAATGACCTATTGCACATGTCACAAGCATATGGCCGCTCACCACTATGTATGTGTTGATGTCTCTTCAGATGACCACTCCGACTAAATGATTTATTACACACATCACACGAATATGGACATTCTCCTGTATGTATGCGTTGATGTTCCTTCAGACCACCCATTTGACTGAATGATTTATTACACACATCACAGGAATACGGACGCTCTCCACTGTGTGTGCGCTGATGTGTTTTCAGAACACTCTTTGTACTGAATGATTTATTACACACACCACAGGAATATGGACGCTGTACACTGTGTATGCGCTGATGTATCTTCAGGTCCTCCTTTCTATTGAATGACTTACTACACAAATCACAGGAATAAGGCCGCTCCCCAGTATGTATGCGCAGATGTGTTTTCAGGTGTCCCCCTTCACTGAATGATTTATTGCACACATCACAGGTATAAGGACGCTCTCCACTGTGTATGTGTTGATGTCTCTTCAGATCACCCCTCCGCCCAAATGATTTATTACACACTTCACAGACATAGGGGCCTTCTTCACTATGTATGTGTTGATGTCTCTTCAGAACACTCCTCCGCCCAAATGATTTATTACACACTTCACAGACATAGGGGCCTTCTTCACTATGTATGTGTTGATGTCTCTTCAGAACACTTGTCAGCCCAAATGATTTATTACACACTTCACAGACATAGGGGCCTTCTTCACTATGTATGTGTTGATGTCTCTTCAGATCACTTGTCAGCCCAAATGATTTATCACACACATCACACAAATATGGACATTCTCCTGTATGTATGCGTTGATGTATCTTCAGGCGACTGCTCACACTGAATGACTTATTGCACACCTCACAGGTATACGGACGCTCACCACTGTGTATGCGTTGATTCGCCCAAATGATTTATCACACACATCACACAAATATGGACATTCTCCTGTATGTATGCGTTGATGTTCCTTCAAATGACCCTTCTGACTGAATGATTTATTACACGCATCACATGCAAATGGACGATCTCCACTATGTATGCGTAGATGTGTTTTCAGGTGTCCCCCTTCACTGAATGATTTATTGCACACATCACAGAAGTAAGGCCGCTCACCACTGTGTATGCGTTGATGTCTCTTCAGACCACTACTCAGACTGAATGATTTGTTGCACACACCACAGGAATAAGACCGCTCCCCACTATGTATGCGCAGATGTGTTTTCAGGTGTTCCCTTTCACTGAATGATTTATTGCACACATCACAGAAGTAAGGCCGCTCACCACTGTGTATGCGTTGATGTCTCTTCAGACCACTACTCAGACTGAATGATTTGTTGCACACATTACAGGAAAATAAACGCCCCTCATGTTTAAGCTGTTGTTCATTCACAGGACTCTGTTAAAGAAAATTATGATAAATATAATGAGAAGAAGACTGACTTGATGCTACTAGAAAGTGTTGTTAAATAGACTATAAATAAATAAGAATGACTTTGAAAGCAAGGTGTACATGATGTCAATTGCTATTACATTATTAGAATTGTCTTTTACCAAATCCCATTACACAACCAGAATTTAGCGGAAGATGTACTACAAATGCCACAAAAATCATAAACCGCCAATATTAGTCTAAACTGTTTGTTCAGTGAAGTGTGTACAGTACGCGACTGTAATCTTGCGACTTGCAAGGAATCCAGGAAGTCTGAAGCATTAAAGACAGACGCTGTCTTTCCTCCTTCACCCCACCTCCTCACCACGCTAGTCACAAGATTACTGTCGCGGACTATACACATGTTGTGGGGCCCATGGAACTTGAAACATCTTTAATTTGATACCATACTCAGACCTTGAGTGCTGGGGCATCAGTTAATTTAGTTGTCATTCTGTATGAGGTCTGCACCTGACCTTGGTGGTGAACATATTTCTTTTCTCACCGAGATAGCAAAATGTGGTAAATATGCTAGTTCAGACTACTGATGACAGTCAAATTTCTTTTCTGGCCCTTCTTTCCATACCACGTTGTTTAATACAGATATCCGATATACAAACGACTTTCTATCACAGTTCAATTATATAAACATACCTCAGGTTCAGCCTTTATTACTGGACATTCTATTAGCACAGGGTACTCTTCCTCTTCTATATCTGTGACATCCTCTGTCTTTACACAGACAACCTGATATCCGTCATGACATGTCTCACTATCTGAACCAGGTACATCTTTCGGTGAATCCGTGCAGTTCTGTAGAACCACCACACATGAATCAGTCAATGCTATTCCCTCTCATTATATGAAATGGAACAGACATTCTTTACAACTATGTCTGATTGTTATCACTTAGTAGGTGAAGATAATGAATAGACTATTCACTTTGAACCATGCAATGTGATCCAGTTCAGAGCACAAAACTGCAACATTATTAAGCTGAAGAAACGTTGTTTCTTTGTAACCATTTCATGCAAATGAAAGCCCTCTAAGCATGTTCAGATTTGTATGTACATACATACACACACAAATAATAATCACAGAAATGAGCTGAAACCAACGCTTACCTTGGGTTTGGCATTCTTTACAGAAAATGTTGATGGAATGCAAACCTCGTCAGTTTTGAAACCAATGGGATCTTCTTCACTCAGAACATCCACATTATTTTCTACTTCGATCATATCAATTTCCTGCTGTAAAATTATGAATTAAACATAATTCTGATAGATGGCACTTTTCTTGTGCACCAAACACACACACACAAAACAGGAGAGAGTATTTACAGTGGCAGGTTCCAGACTGAAACTTGCAAACTTCTGATATCATAATTTCAGGACTTCAGAATTAAAACACTGCATGCCTGCAAATTTACACTAATTATTTTCAGGACAAAATGGTAGCTCATGATAATTCTTCACTTAATTTCAAGACCATAAACTGTTGCCATGTTGTGCACCTTAATGAAACTCATTAACCTTCCATTGCTCAACTGCATCTTACTGCACTAATGCCGTAATACGTACACAGCCTCTTACACAAGCATCTTGCATTTAATCCCCATATATGGACCTTTTCCTTTAAACCATTACATTTACATCCAAGCTCTATTTTTGAGTATTAGAACTTTTCATATAAGATACTAATTCATTAAATTAATTAATTTTGCCCTTTTACCAAGAATTTAGAAATGTCAGCATCACATGGGAAGCTGGACAGGCAAATTACAAATGTCATATATCAATTTAGTCTCTACAATTACGAATACATAACTTATATTGAATCTGCAATACATTTCAATACTTTGTTTTTAATTATTCTTGTCACAGGCCCACTTTTATTACTCGCTTTGAAATATTTTGTATTACTCTTTACCTCACACATGTTGCCACTTCGTAAATGCAAATGACAATACATACTCATACGTTACCCAATTAAGACTATGCAATTTCTGTTCGCTATGTTCCAAAAACCACTCTGCCCTAATGTATGCAGCCATATGCTTGATATGTTCCAACAGGTCTTATTTTCTTATACTTGTTGGAGGTCCAATTCAATTAATGGCTTCAAAATATTTTCTGTTACTCTGCATTACATATATGGTATCAATGAGTAGATTAAAATAATAATTAAACACACACACATATATTATTAAATTCAGACTGTACAGCTTGTGTGTCGTGTCAAGACCGGGCCACTAAAGACGTACAACAGAGACAAATTACAAAGCTACAGAAATGTTTCTTTTAAACTAATAAAAATATGTTGTTGATGTAAATGAAACTGCAAACATTCTCTGAATTTGATGTCCTGTTATGTGTGACATAACATGAACATGTGAATAGGTTCATGTACGTAGGCATGTACATGTATGCACACAAACCAGAAAAATCAGCTGAAAACAAGGCTTACCTTAGATTCGGCCTCCTTTGTAGAAAATGCTGATGATACATAAACCTCATGCATTTTCATGTCAGTGGAATCTTCTTTACTCGGAACATCCACATCATTTTCTATTTTGATATCAATGTCCTGCTCTAAACTTACAAATTAAACATAATTCTGTTATATACTTCTTATGCACTACATACACAGGCAAAAACAGGGCTTTGGAAATAAAATAAGAAGTGTCCAGAGAGCGGTACCAAATAGTTTCAGAACAAAATAGTCACAGACATTTGACTAACTTTGCACAGTAGAGTACTGCACACACCACTTAACCAACTAGTGTGTGCAGACAATTTATAGAGTTCTCAACAAGCCTAAATGTCATTACAATGTTATTATATTGGGATGCGGAAATAACATGACAACCAAACTACACCAGTTAAGAAACGTTCTGACAAACAAACGTTATCAGAAAGAAAACTTAGCTTAAATATATGCATCAAAAGAAAAACTCCCTTATATGATTATTAGAGGGCTGAACAAAAACAAAGGTCAACAATTGTATTTTTCACCATCAAACACCCGAGTGTTAGTTAACAAAAATCAACAGAAGAGTGGTGGAACTATAATAAGATTTCTGATAACTTTACTGGATATTACAAATGTGTATCCTCAATCAACCACACAAAGAAGACAAAGTGTTTGAAATATACCTGTCTCAATTTAAGAATTTGAAATTATCTGGTTACAACACACAAGACACAGAACGAAAATATGAATCACAAAGCAGCTAAACAAAAAAAATGAGTGAACATACGAATAATAAGGAGAAATAATAATTATAATGACCTGGCCATAGATAACCTACCTGGACCCGGCCATGGCAAGGACATATTGCAGGGACCACCTACTAATTTTTTGCTATATGTAATCAATGATCAAGTGACCGACGCGAAAGATGGCGGCCGAGTATCGGACGTTTCTGCTCATCTGTTGTCGCGTGACCTCAGCCGGTCGCTTTCAGAGAGTTGGTGTGCTCGCAGCATTTGTTTTCTTTGCTAAGGTGGTGGTTGCATCATCTGTTTCCGCTCGAAATTGTTTTTAGGCCAAATGTTTTACCCACTGCTGATAAGTAACTCTGCCGCCTCATGCGCGCTGCGGATCACCTGCGGCGGTTAAAGTGGTCCGCAGGGTCTAGTTTACTTAACTTCGTCATTTTGGGCACCATTCCGTTTGGTTTCTTACACCAAAGAACCATTTCATATGGACTGGAAAAAATTCGTAAAGACCTTTGCTGGCAGTTATCACGTGGGTTTTATAATATTTATTTAACTGTTGCTGCTTTTGACTTCAGTGAGTTATCACGTTTTGCCATTTAAAGTGGCAAATTCATTTTAGTAAACATTGAGAAGCCCATCTTTATTATTGTTCTTAATGAATTACTTTTGATCTGCTTCCCATTTGACCCCACCTCTGTCTTTTAACTCTGTTATTAGTTAAGTGAGGATAGGGTTAGTGTAAACCTACACCATATAAAATGTTGCAAATCATAAAATGAGGTGGAGGCTATATTTAATGTACCTTTAATCAAAACAGTGATTTGAGGTATTGATATTTGATTTCCTGAAGAGACTTCTATTTGCCAGACAGGTTAGCAGACCTGTTGAAATTCACTGGGGAACATTTATTTTGTGTCTTCATCCCCACCCCCTTCCTTTCATACCCTTCAGCTGTATTACTTTAATGTTCCTTTCATTTGTACACTGTAGTAGGACAATAATGAAGAATATGAGCTATACTGTACACTACATTATTCCATGGATTTCAATAAATCTAATTTCTGAGTGATAGAGCCCTCTGTTCCTGTAAGATGTCAGGGTACATATGTTCTTTGAGTGAGACAAGTGGAGTCCTTGAGTCACTGCCCAGGTCAAGGAATTCCCAGTCTTTTATGGAACTCAGTATTGTGTTCATGAGATCTCTCCATGGGGCCACATGCTTACATCCTACTTCTTTGGGATTAATTTTAATATCGTTCTCCCCTTTACATTTCTCAGTTGTCATAGTTTCATACCTTCTCAAGCCCAGACAGAAGGAAACAAATTCCTATGGAGTAAATGCTATATATGTGGTATTCGATAACAAATTCTCCATGGACTTGGGACTAACAGGAATTTAAAGCGTTACATACAAGATTCAGTGAAATGAAAGAAGGCACGGGTCATCCGTATGTAGGACTGCAACGGCACACCAGTAGTGGCACAGTGAGAAAAAATTCAAGATGTGCAAATAAATTTGTGTATGTCTCCTGATAAAATGTCTGTTATTGTGTCCAATTTTAACCAAAATTGGAATGCACTGACAAATTTTAGCACACTCCCCAGAATCAAACATTACAAAAATCAGTTTGTTTCTCAAGCAGACAGACAGTGCAAAGTTAATGGGTGCATCACTTAAATTTCGATGCGGACGCATCTAAAAATTAATCAATATCAGCTGTAAAATTCTGATATCTGCAATTGAATCGGGAATAGGCACACAAACATATGTAGCATGTTAATGGAGATTTAGAAAATCTAAATATAATCAGTTTTTTATTATATGACCTGGTCCATTCTGATGTCACCGAAGCTTAATAGTTCTTTAAAATAAAAGACAGTAATCAAGGTACAATAATACTTCATTATTGTAGGGTACTTGGGTGATAAAATAATCACCAGGCTTATAAAACCTTCATCAAAAGAAAGACGACACTGAAAAAGAAATCAATTTACAGTTTCGCTAGAAAAACACAAAATAGCTGTCAAATGAAAACACAGGATATTTGCCAGAAACACGCTGGTGTCAATAATACCATGTTCATATCTTACTCACTATAACTATAAATATATCTATCAAACTTAACACTCATTCAATACAAATTCAGTTTCCATTCTTAACAATCCTCTAACCACATAGCACACCAAACAAAAGAAACCGTTTACATAGTTGTAAGTCAATAGTAATATCACTAATACATGTCACGCATTCTTTGACACTTTTTCTCTGCTTACATCAATGCTTCATTTTACCCATCATATAAATTACTGACACTTCAGAGAAACGTCTGTCCATAACAGCCATATTTAGGCATTTATTTTTTCTGCTGTTAACATAATATAACAGAGAAATTTAAAATTGTCAGTTGTGTTCAACAACTTCACAAAGGAACCAAGTGGCCTGTAATGGCAGTATGTTTAACATCCTGTAAAAAGTCTTAACTTATCTGATGCCTGACATTAAACAGGCTATAAATATATATCTCTTGGTCTTGGCATGTAATAATAAACTATCAGAAACTGCAACATGATTACAATATTCAAACAACAATAAGGATAGAACTTATACATTGTAGATTCAAGACACCAAACTGGTATTAGAGGTCAAAAGTTATAACCTTTGGAAGTGGAACATTTATTTGTTTTTAGGTGCTACATCTCTGCATACATATATAAATAATATGACCACAAAATTGACGGTTAAAGAGGGTTATTTTAAACTTTTGTATTTTATTACTTCAGGCCAATGTAAGTTTGTATTGTCATAAAAATACTGGAATGTCATTGGCTGTATTAACACTTTGCTTCCATAGTTCTGGAAACCTAACTACAATGACCATTTAGATGTAAACATTAAACTGCATTAATTTGAAACACCAAAAGCATTTAACATATTTAAGTCTCACTTTTTAATTTATGTATTTAGAAATACGGTTATATACAACAAACAGAGAAGAATAAACCACGTAATACATATGGGGGTTAACATGGGTTTAATTTAAAAACCGACAAGCACTTCTGTCTTACTTGTAAATTTTATAGAAATGCTGTACTTCTAAAGAAGGGTGTGTTAAATATTTGTTCTGTGATACCTGTGAAATTACTGTGTCTGGTTGAAGACTGTTGCTGGCTCACTCAAATTGATTGACAGGAATGAAGTGTAACATGATTGATCATAAGATCTTCATAATGCTCTGTAAATGCATAAAAAGAGAAATTTCTGCTTTTTAACAAGACACTTGAAAGACAATGATGTATTCTTAAAATAGGCTCTTTAACGTCAGATTAAAATTGATAACATGGCAATAAGATCAAATAATTGTCAAAAGAAGGAAATAGTCATATCATTAGATGCCAGTATGGAAAACTTGGCAAATTAAACTTGTTATTGTTCATTCGTTGATTTCTCCAAAATGTCATGCAAGTATTATACAGTCACATTTCCTTGAATTTTAAATCCAACCTAAACTCGTAGTGTTTCATTTGACAAGAGTATGATACTCTTGTCAAATGAAACAGTACGGTAATAAATTCAGTTACGTATTTAAATGTTTCACTATCTGTTTGTACACATGAACAGTCTGACTCTTTATTTTGATCTTAGCCAGGCCCTCAGTGAAGTCCTTCATACTCTTTTGTTTTTATCATCTCTTTGAAGTTGAAGCTCATCTAAATAAAATTTGAGAATACAGTCTAGTTAATGCTGTTTAAGTAAACAATCGCCATTTATTGTGAGAATTACACGAAGCCCATAAACACAAAATGAAAAGTTAACTGATTGTTGACTCATGTGGTGTACAGTAACCATTTGGTTTTTTAAAGGGTTAATGAACTTTCTCCTGAAATGAATCACTCCAAATTTATCTTATTTGCTGATGACCTGGAAATTTATGAAGACATAAGTCTGTTGGTTGTAAATCTGCACAAACTGATACTGATTCAGTACAATAGTGATGTGAGAACTATATGAAACTTTACATTCAGGAAACTAATTAATTATTAATCAGTGATGTTCTAATTTCACATTCTGACTGTGTGAAAGATCTTGGTGTTATGCAGTTTCATTGTCATGCTGATTTTGTATATTCTTGTCAATAAGGACATTGGGTTTTGTTCATTATATAACATATTTCTTCTTTGGAGTAATTGTTTTACACAATGTTTTATTTAGGTAAAAACTGAAGTATTCCACTGTTGTAGAGAATAACCTGATATTGTATGACTCTAATAAAACAGAAAATATACAAAGAAAATTTTCCAGTTTGATATTTTATGTAATTATAAAATCAAAATATGCAAGACAAGTTACACAGTTCCTGACAACCATTCCTTTTCTTGGAGGTAAAGTCACATTGCACATGTTGACTAAGAACTGAGAACTAATAACATCAGAATACAGCAAAAATAATCATCACAGAGTTAACTCACTAAGAGTACTTCAGTTGTGCAAGAATTGCCAACTTGTGTCATAAAAACTAAATTATGTTTCCATATGCTTCCAAGGCTTATTCCTAAGGTTAGAACAAGAAAATCTTCAAAATCATACATTATTTAAATATCAGCCAGACTGGAAAATATATCTCATTGTGTTGATTCAGTTCAGTGAAAAAGCTAAAGGTAACCTGTTTCGAACTCACAGTTCGTCATGTTGCAGTCTTATAAATAGATATCCAATTTATCTTGTTCCTCTTGAATGGTTTTTCATATCAGTAAGGTATAACATTTCATTCAGTGCATGTCCACAGGTTAAAGAGAGCAGCCATATTATTGAACCATTTATGACTAGGCCACGGAAAAATAAATTAAAATGACAGAAAATATAAAGTCCTATGAATTAATAAAAATGTTATACAAATATAATATAAACTGATTTTGCCAGCATTTGCTAGCACGCATATGACACAAAAGAAACCATTCCTCCTTTACTTCGTATTATTTTACCTGCAGGAACCAAACTTAATACAGAAATATTGTACACATAAGTGTTAATGTACATTAACCATTAGAGGCATGCATAAATCTAATGTCTGCCGCTTTCCAACAGTCATACTTTGATACCAACAGGCATGCATAAATCTAGTGTCTGCCTCTTTCCAACAGTCATACTTTGATACCA